GATAAATTACAAGACATGTCGGGTGACGTTTATTCGCGTTATGCCCCACGTGGTGTGTGACAGACAGACATATTGTTACTTATATTTATAGTGATATAATACCATCATTACGAACGCTTTTGAATAATTGTGGTTAGCCATTGTGTTCTGTGCTCTCTTTGGATAGTACGAAAATAATACGGACTTTAGAAGTGAGACCGTATCAATGATCTTAGATCTTAGGGCAATATCTCCAAAAACAAAGTCCGACAAGTCATTGACCTAGAACTGAATACATTTTGGAGTAACAATTAATAAATGAACCGAGCCCGTACTACGAACACAATTACACAAGAGTTACATAAACGGACAACACAGCTAAGTAACTTCACTGTATAGTGACATTCGTCCAAAACACCCCTGAAAGGGTAAATAACCTCTGAACGACCGCAAAACCATTAACCCGATGTAAACGTCACAAGTTTAACAATTAAAACACTCTGATAATAGAAACTAAAACAGAAATGCTCGCCGCTACAAATTAATATATTCATACATTGTTCAAAGGTCGCCACCCGAAAAATATTAAATGTCCAACCGAAAAGCGACTCAGGCGCTTTGAAATAAAATTCACAATACATTAAATAAACCTAACCATCGGTCACACTTCTGTAATAAAATTATAATTTGAATTATATTCTAAATAGAAATAAAGTCTATTTTAACTTGCATCCATCTCAGATAGACCGTACATCAGTTTTCGCATGGGCTCTATGTTCGTAATTATCTGTATAATTTTATTGGTAACATCACCGACTATAATACGATTCGGAACGCTTTAGTCAAATACAATTCAATGGGACCGTTGATGACGTATTAAATCACTATTTAATTTCAATTAAACTGCAGAATAACATATTTTGAGCTTAAACATATGAAAAATATGTTTGAAGTTAGAACTCAAACTCCTATATATTAAGACGGATTGCTCATATGATGTCCTAATTTTATTAAATCAGTTTAAAAGGCAATTATTTTGTATTGCAAAACCTCAGTACTCTTTAGGTTGTCCCCCAAACGAAGTTACTATCCCCTAATCACTGTTTTGTCAGTCTTTCGGTTAAGACCCCTTTTCTCTTTTCGTATACACACTGAGATCTCAGAGAGATGTGAGAAAATAATATTTTTAATTGAATACAAATAAAAAAAACATTACAGTTTTTTATACTATTCACAATTCTATCAAATATACAAAAAAAATGTAAAAAATAAATCCTTATTTGATTGTTATTGTTATAATCTACCAAATGTTATGGTCTACTTGGTGTTAAGGAAATGTCTTTAATTAGAAGAAATTGTAGATAAAAATTAGATCTTTATACAGAATAGTTAACAGATGAATTCATTATAAAAATTATTATATGTATCAGCATAAAATAAGACATTTTTAAGGGTACTAAACTCACAGAACTCAGTGATGTGAATATTGTGTTAGATATTATATATGAATGTGTACATAGCCAAGGTACCAATATAATATTTTATTAAGAGGTTACATTAACAATGCCTCTCACATACACAAACACGTACTCAAAGCAAGGTATTACACACATTTGACGCTTATAAAATCGATGGCATTAAATTCGAATCACAAATCGAGTCGAAATAAGGGTTTGAATACGAGAAAATACACAATAAAATGTATACCTTATTTGTGTGTGCTTATTGAACAGCTATTTTTTCGATTCTTAGCATACGTAGGGGAAAATAATCCCTCGCAAAATAAGACGCAATATAAGTTAAAGATTTATCGGTGAAATGTGTAATTCTGTTCCATTTTATACGTACACTCAATAATTATAAATGATAACTCTTTGAATGTTCCAGTTATAATATAATTGTTGTTAACAACAACAGTTACACAAGCAACAGCCGACAACAGTGTCTGTGAGTTTTATTTATTTACAACAATAGACACGGAATCAAAAATATAGTAATGACACAACAAGAGGTAAACAACCCACGATCACCACAAAGAAACGCTCTAACAACGCCTTTGAAAGCTACCCGTTCTTGACTAACTAACTATTTAGGCAACAGTTTGGCTTTAATTAATCTTGACAACGGTGAACGGTCCTCTTGATAGAGACATCATTTATCATTTTCAAACATCAAAATAACAAAGAAATATACGAGTTAGAACAGCTTTCCTCGCTCGTACTAAGATCCATACATTATTCTATTACATAAACACTGAGACATGTGGCTGCGTGTTAACTTTACAACTATATCTGCTAACATACAAGCCTGCCTAACTAATTAACTGCCTACATCGAACACTTATTTCACTTACCCCGTTACAAAGTTCGTGATTTGATGACGTCATAGGTTAAACGATTAATCTTTATGAGAATAATTACAACCAGACACAACCGATACAAAAGAGTTTGGGATCGTGTAGGAAGGAAAGGTGGAGTTAATTGAAGTCGTATGAATTGTATTAATTAAAAGTTACGTTGCTTGATGTATATACATATTATGTATTGGTTCACACAATAAGATCTAAGATTTTTTATAAAAAAAACTACATACTCCCGAATCCCAAAAAAGTAGTCGAAACGTCTCGAATATCTAGTTATTTTACAAAAACAAATTCCGTAGTACATATATCCGAAAGATATTACATAGTTTCATTTAAATGTTTTTATTGTGTTTATTTATTTCATTTATACACAAAACTCAACACCCTGTATAAATATCCACGGAGACGTGTTCAGTAATGTCGGTGGTGTCCAATTATTTGCGTCCGATGGATGCAGCCCGCGCCAGTCGATTGCCTCGACCGGGAATCGAACTCCACAATAACGTCTAAATAAACATCACGGACTTCGTATTGATACGACGGAAAATATATTCTGATAGGGAACAACCTGCGGGCAGGATGCATTTGATATTATATTATTTTTTAAACGACATTTCAGACTAGTGTAGTAAAAAAATTATCAGTTAAAAACTCTGTTATCTAACAAACATTTATTAATAACTCTTTATTATTCGATGTTAATATAATAAGAAGAATAGAAAACGATTTTCATAAATTATTTAATAAGTAATCTAAGGTATTGAATGTTGAGACAGACGGAGCTTGCAGCTCAATAAGGACACTTTATGAGATCGCTGATAGAAACAATGGAATGACGGGAACTAATGATTCATTCAAAAGTTTCACAAATCCTTTAAATATTTGGCCGCGGAACAAACGAAACGGCTTAAGAAGAGATAAAGACTTTATATTTCAAACAATTATCATTATCTTGTCACGCAAAAGAAACAAGCTTTATAATTTAACATATCATTAAATTTATTGTTATACTTAAATTGTAATATATAAATTTTAAGATTATATGTTCAAACAATTTTACGTATAAAAAGATTAGATCGGTTATTTACAAATGTTTCAAAACGCGTTATGAGTGGCCAAACTGACAACCATGAATAGAATGAAATAAAACAATTATTGAAAAACGCCTCCTTATGGTGACTTAGTAATCAAATACTTTCACAGGATTAATATATTTACTCAGAAATATCCTCTATATATTCTTTAATATTACTTCGCTTGCAAACAAAACGTTTAATAAATTATGTGATACAATATAAACTTTCAAATTATAAGAAATTAGTCATTAATGTTCATCATTTCAATTATTATATAGGTAAAAATCACATATTAAAACTTGTAAACATCCTTCAAGAGCTCACTCCACTCATATACTAACGCCATCTATCGGACCAGTTTGCTGTTCTTGGACTATAATTTAAAATTTAAATAAGCAACACAATATAAGTAATATATTTAATTAAATTTGGCTATGAACGGATATGTTTCGTAATATTATTCTAATTATAACATAAATCAAGATCAAAGATTATTCAATTTGCATACAGATTTATTGTAGACTGTAGAGTAACGGAGCCACGTTATTTTAGTGTAAAAACTTAATAGTATTGACCTCCGACGATATGTTTATTCTTAATATAGAATTAATTTTTGGGAATATTTTAGTTGATTTTACTACTTACTTAAATAAACTTTACGAAAATAAACTAATGATTTAAATTTGAAATATATTTTAAAGAATATGAATATGTTAGAATTGTTATTAAGTTTCTGTATATACATGGGACTCGTGCCGTCGGATTGTTTTCTGCTTCAAAATTAATTTTCTCTTGGAACATTTGGGTCATTAAAAACTTTAAAAAGTCCGTAAACGAACTATTGTTTCATTCAAAACCATAAAAAATCCTTTATGGCTTTAGATGAAGAACATTTAATGTTCAAAAACTTTATTATAAATATTGTCATACTTTAAAAATATCATAACTGTGTAAAGAAAACAAAATATTAAAATAAAAACAATTTAGTTTATTCGTATATCGTTAACAAATCATTTTTTTACTCGTTTCTATAATACATAGTTTTTATGACATCGATTCAGAATTATTAAGTATTATTTACAATGGTGTGAGCTAACTTACAACTAAAACAACTAATTTACATCGCAGCTTTTCATCTACTGACAATAAATAAGACAATAAAACGAGCGTCCCAACACTGGCTAGCGTCCAGACAAACTTAACAGATACGAGTTTACAGAAATGATCAGGATCCTTGAATATAAACTACATCTAAATAGTGACAACTACAAGAATAATCTCTTTTTGGTACCGTTCTCACTTCGCACTGACAAATATTTACTAAAACTTATATATCTGAATACGAATCGAAACAAAAATCACAGTTAATTAAACTTAAACCGTGCCCACTAAAGGGCCTACTATTAACTTTCAACATATTTACAAACCCCTCGATACTAAACCCTCGTGTCACGTTGTTCGACTAAGCGTTATACTAAAATAATAAATAAAGTTTATATGGTTCTTATATCGTCTTTAACACTGAACACTGCCGCCGAACCCTGAAGGACTGGAGACGTCTTTCAAGGAAGGCAGGTTGGTCTTCAATATATGACTGACACCGGCCGCCTGAGCTGGTCGTCGTGAGGGCTGTGCTGCGTCGAAGTCACCGGAGACACGGGAGAAGCCGGCGCCGCTCCATACTGGTGGAACAGAGGAGACGGGAACGGCTTCGGAGGAGCGGCCGGCTGTGTGTACAGCGATGAATAGAACGATGACACTACAGCGGCAGCTGAGGACGCCGTCGGCAACTTCTCGGTCGGAGCCATCAGTTTGGAGAACTGCAAGTGATCCAGCTGATGTGGGAAGTATGGAGGCACTGCTGAGTATGAAAGAGCGTCCAATGGTCCAACGGTAGGTGCCGGGCCAGCGAAATAAGGCAGTGGAAAGCTGGGGAAAGCTCCAGCGCCCGGGGCTCCTCCCGCTGTGGGTGGCTTGGGCTTCCTTCGTGGCCGGTACTTGTAGTCGGGGTGCTCCTTCATGTGGAGAGCTCGGAGTCGTTTAGCTTCATCAATGAAGGGTCTCTTCTGCATTTCGGACAACAGCTTCCATTCAGCTCCGAGACGTTTCGATATCTCCGAGTTGTGCATCTTCGGATTGTCCTTGGCGATCTGGCGACGCTGTAGCCTGGACCAGACCATGAAGGCGTTCATGGGCCGCTTGATGTGTCCCTCGGACTGCGGCGAGGAGGCCGGCAGCGGCTGCGGCGCGCTCGGGTACTCCGGCAACATGCCGGGGTGCATCGAGAACGCGTACGGGTGATGACTGAGAGTCGACATTTTAATTATTGTATTCAAACACGAACTTTTAACATCAGCTATGTATGGCACAATAGTGAATGGGCACAGACGAGGAGGCGATTGTGTCGCTTCGAACTCGGCCGATAGACTGACGGCTGTTGGCAGTGTTCGCGTGGGTATCGGCGAGAGGGAGGCGCGGTCTGGGGCGGCCGGGCTGCTACCAATGGGGGCTCCAAGAACACAGCCTGCGCCCCTCCTAGACCCGTATCTCCATCTCTGTCGGCAGCCAGCCATCTGATCTGTCCGTCTCTGTCTCAACAATACCCCATAAGCTCCGTACAGCTGTTTGAAGGCATATCGCGGAGTCTACACTACTTTATGCATGATATAACCGCTGTAACAGAACTCTTACATTTACCTTTATTGCCAAGTTTTCATTCTTTGTTATTAAAAAATATATTTTTATTGTTGTGATAAAAGTATCTACTTGCTTTACCCTACACTGTTGTTAGAATATTCATTAAAGATATTCTTGTTCATTATACTTGTATGAATCAAAGACACTCTATGCTTTAAGTCTATCTTTAAATTGTTAAAATATAAGTGATATAAATTCTACATATATTGTTATAATATATACTTTTAAAGTGCAACTTTAATTTGTCTTCTATGTTTTTGTTTATTTATAATTTGATTTAGTAGATGGGTTGGTCTTTTGAGTTGAATTTAAAATTATGATACATTCAAGATGATTTAAAAGTTTATTTTTGTTTTTGTTGTTAACACAATTAGGTAACTTCAGTTTCATACTTATATTTATAAGACAAAAATACAAGAGCAGAAATAAATTTTGTTGTTTGAATTCATTATTATAGATAAATGATGATAAAACTAATATTATTATTATATTACATATGTATGTATTAAGATGAATTATTATGAAATAAAATATTTATTGAGTGATAATAATATTTATTTAATAACAATGATGGTCAGTTCTTGAGATCGTAAAATAAAAGCCTTAGATATCAAAAACTGATCAAAGATCACGTCACAACTGAAGACACAAAACATTAATTAAAATTTCCCTCAACATAAAGTGCCCGGTGATACATAAAGTGAAATCTGTCAGTAATAATGGAAAGCAATTATTTTATGTTGAATATAAGTTGTAAATCTTTTGTCAACCATCAACACTACAAAGTCAACTCGTTAAATCTGTGATAGCAATGGTCACTATAAAAACATTCATTGTGCGGCCGTCTGTCACGCTTCAAATCATTATTATCTCTGAGAGAATTCTGCGGACACTGAAACAAAAGACGCGCTAACGGTACGGCCACCATAAAAATATTAGATACCATCATAAAATATTTACTTCATCCCATAGCAGACTCACTGTTAAAATTACAACGAAATTGAACTTTAAAATTATTGAATTAGATTGCAAAATTGTTTGAGAGAGATCCAAGCTATTGTCGTCCGAAGGCAATGCTTCTAAGAAGCTTCTTTATGAGAATAATAAAATAATTATTTCCTAAGCTAACGTGTATTTCTTGTTATATTTTTATTGCTGGTTTGCGAGACAGTATTGTGCCTTTGTACGATCCTCCGGAACACTTTAAATTACTTTAAAACCGACTAACGGTTCAGCAAAATAAATGTTCAAATTAAAATCATGTTTTACAATAACTTATTATTAAAAGATTATGAAGATTAGTTGAAGAGCAGTTCTTGTGTCCTCCAAAATAATACTAGAACAACGAGAAGTGTCATAATACTTCATCACATCTTCCTTTGTTCTTTGTAAATAAAATAATATAAAAATAAAAACTTAAATTATATTTGAAACATTAAAATGAAACCCATTTCAATGAATATTTCACATATTTTAACCAACTTTTTTAATTCTTTCATATCATAAAATAAGACTATTATTGATAAAACATTTAATGTGTTTTATAAACAAAACAAGTGTCATACTAAATTGGTTTTAGGAAAGAAGTTGAATGAAAAATCCCTACAAATTATTAAGAAAAAACTAGATTCTGATTTTAGTATGAAATCATTTTTCTCTATGATTATAAAATGAGATACAACTAGCGCCATCTGTTGATAATAACTTGATAAACATATCGACTAAACAGAAAATGTTCATTTAGTTAATAATTTCAACCTGAATAAAGTAAAAGAAGAAATCAGAGAAATAATATTTTATTTTTCTATTGAATAATCGTTCATCTGTCACATATTTTCTAATGGCTAGTCTAATAAGATAAATTCAAGATACATTATATGTATATTAAAAATAAAACTATAATCAACAATATTTCATCTTTAAAATTGTTTTTATTTGTTTTCATAACAATATATAGCAACAAAAAAGAATATAATTAAAAAATCTTAATTTTTGACTTGTAATAAACTTTTATAACTACAGTAACGCCATCTATTAAAAGATTTGTAAGTTTATTGATGTCCATAAAAAAGATAAGCTGTTAAAAGAATAAACAATATAAAATATTTGAACAAACAAATAAATTATAAACTCATTGTTTCTGTATAATAGAATAATTTTTACAAAAGTAACTTTGTCGTGCGCCGCCCTGTTGTATTGTTACGAAAAAGTTTAATTATTTAACAATACATAATTAAGTTATAGAAAAATACATTTACCTTACAAGAAAATCTTTATTCTGTATAAATATACACAATTTAACTAAATATTACATTGTTATTATTTATTTATTTTAATCATAGGTTTTATTTTTCAAAAATAACATTTAATAAATAATAATTAAATATTATACACAACAAAAATTACGTAATTCATGAAACATAAAATTATTCAAACGAAAAAAATATATACCCTATATTATGTAAAATTGCAAAAAAATATCCATAAATCGTAAATAAAACAAAGCAAAATAAGCCCTAGAGTTGTTAACCGTTAAGTATAATAATATTATGGGTTCTATAAATGAATCGCTCCTAATTACTTACTAGGAACCAGCCACACTAGTAGCTCGGCTATGTTTCATCTCTATCACATCCATGGCCGACGATAGAGACGGATATACACAGCTAGTTAGGTTGATCCAGACCGTGCACACAACAATGGGAGGTCGCAGCCTTATTCGCCCTATCTTCCTATTTTAATTTACTCAAATTTCCCTTGACACCTCACTCGACACACAGCATTTTTATGGCCGGTTCCACCGTTATTTAAATCTACGATATATTCAAACATATTCACAACCAAAATTAATATATTAAATAGTGTTTAAACATATATAATGATTGTATATTTCTAGTCGATCCATTTAAAGTTGACCCGTGTTTTGTATGTAATGTCTGTGTATGCGTGTGTCCTAACGGCTGGTTAGTGTCACCGATCCCGTGTATATAAAGGGATCTATTATTTTTAAGCAAGGATGCACTCCATTAATGGCTGCCAACGATAATACTCATTGTACGACGAGCTGCGACCGAGACGGTGGAGGGCAATCAGTATAATGTATGTATTGTTCATGAATCATATATACATATATTAAAAATATTATCCAATTAACATAATGATCATCGAGGCACAACGTTATACTATCAATTTATGTATATCTTTGTTTTATACTATCTTCTATCCACAGATTATACTATGTTTAAAGACTTAATTCAACTTTCTCTGTATATTATGTGAAATTACATACATAATAATTAAGAAACCATTGTTATTTTATTTCAATAGTAAATTAAGTTTAGTTAAAATCATAACACAATGTGAACACAGAACAACAGATTACAAAACACGAATAAAACATTAAAACAAACATCTTGAAAGCCTCGCAACCACAAACGTTTTGTTTCTGAACGTTCTAATGATGATAATTGTTATTTAAATATAAACCTTATTGATATTATAATAGGGTATATTTAAATTGTATGCGACTGTCAAATATTTTTTTAAAGTTACAGCTGTCAAAGTCATTTTCTGTATACAATTGTTGACAGTTACATCATAAAACAAATGTATTAAGAAATAACTTATTAATACGTATTATTTTCTTATCTGTGTACATAAATGACTATGTTTATTAATTTTAAATCATTAAATATTTTTTTTTTTATTAAGGAATAAAATTTATAAAGGTGTGCGTTATATATGGGGTATTTTTAATTTTAATTCGTATGTATGCATTTCTACGATGATTAAAATTGAAAATCAATTTTTATAATTTCTTGAATATTGCACATTAAATCTACTTTTAATACTCTTACGAGAAGAATAAGAATTGGCTAATATTTCGTTATTATACTTATTGAATAATTGTCAATTTTGAGATCCAAAAAAATATAGTGTAATAAAATTATAAATATAGGTATATTTAAATAGCGTTTCTTGTTAAGTTGGTTATTTTTACAAACTTTCTAATTAACTCCAACACAATGACTGAGCTACACAAACAACACCGAGGGTGACAACAAGTGTTACTGGTACTTCCTTTAATTATATACAACTTATAATCACTAAGCTAATACCGACCTTATTACTATAGACATAAGACTGATTAACACTCCACAGACATCTCAAACAACGAATCCGTATAAAATGTTAACAGTCAAAAATAAACCCTAAAAAGAATATATTAAAGTTCAAACTCCCTCGTCGACTTCTACAAAGTTGCATAGGGTTGTCACAAACAAGTTCATTATGCACTTAGACAATTAGTGTACGCCTGCGGCCGGCTCGTCATTGTCAGCCCTGGGCCTTTCCGCTGTACCTTCCTAGACCCTACCACCTATTTGATTATGCTCATTAGGAGATGAGAGGCCTCAGCTCGGAAGACGCGTCGCTGGAATAAAAGGCTATAGATACATTATGACACTAGACGCTCTTGGTTAAAAATAAAAGAGGAAAAAATAAAAAAATGTTCAGATTCACTATTTCAATGGAGGATTATAATAATGTATTGGATGCTGTGAAGATTGTGACTGCCGCATTCACTTTTATATACACAAAGACGACGTGTATAATATATATGCAAAATGTACCGTGTGTTAGGTGAACTCAAAACCGAATACTGTATCAAAACTCGTATATATAAGAGAGTACTATGACCAGCACCGTCCGTATCTAACAGCGAACAGTTTCAATTTTCTAATTCGTATTAGATGCACGCTGGCTGCACAGCTCGTATCTGTGCATGCGAGAGCCGGATATAACCGGTCCCAGTAACCGGTCACAACCGGACAAATCCGGTTAACGGATCAATGAGAGCGCCTCGGACGCGTGCGGT